AAGCTGGAAGTTCATCACGCCATTTTTCTCAACAATAATGGGCGGAGTTGGTGAATATTATGTTTTCATTATTTAGCTATGGACAAGGCCATAGAATGGCAAGAGACAAATTTCCAGCAAATAATCTACAGAGCAGATCTGATCGCAAATCACACCTTCCGAAAAAGGTAGTAGGTGTGTTGGAGTAAGGTGAAAGAATGTATTGTAAATGAAAAAGGGAACTCTGATGAGTGGGAGGGCAGAGTTCTCATTTAGCTGTATCCACCGTATTTTTTTCTTTGACACGTAGCCAAAATGATACAACATTGAACAAGTGAGTCTACGCAAAAGAGCAAAATCGAGGAAACTCCCAAAAAAATTAAAACGCTTCAGTTTACATGGGAAAGCAATCACGCAAAAGATTCTAAAAAGGTTCACGAGTTTGGCAAGTTTTGACCAAAACATCGGCTTTCAAAAGGAAATGTCATTTGCCATGATTCATTTGGCTTGAGAGTCAATGAGTTGTTTCAGGGGTGAAGCAAAGGAATAAAAATGCAGTGAATCACAACACTCCGGGAGTCTCCTACGTGGGAGACGTCTAGAAAATGCTTTTGATTTGGTAATTTGCTATGTTAGTTTGTTTTGTATTTAAGACTTTGGGTACTTGGAGAAGAGCGGAAGATGGAAACGTATGACCAAAGTTTGACTGTGAAATGTCTCATCAAAATAATTTGTTTGACAGAAGAACTAAACATAGCATGGTCATATTGCTGAAAATCCAAGGAGTCACATGAAAACAATAAATCATAAGGAGAAAGTACAAAGTTCTTGGGCGACCACGAATTCGTCTCCCACTGGGAGTCGTGGTGGCTTTTGAATGCGTATTTGGCTTAAACTGAGGGAACTAGAAAGAGAAAGAATATGGGACCAGTATTTGATCCTCTGTATCAGGTGTGGCAACGCTCCTCTTGATACTATTCCAGCTTCTTCCCATTAATCTTGATTTTTTTCGAAAATGAAGCAGATTCACCGTGAATTCATAAGACTTAAACCCGCCTTTATCAAGAGGAGCCATACACTTAGTTGCAGCTTGGGGTTGTAACTCCACGTTCGAGGTGTATTCCTATGAACTTAGAAAGCCGACCGACCTATACCGAGGAGACGGAAAGCAAATGCGGGAAGTAATTTAATAGTATGAGTGGGGCACGACGCTTCTACCTACTGCGCTATATTTGCCTTTTTGACATATGACGGCATGCAAACATTGTTGACAGCTAGGCTGGACGAGGTCTTCGATTCACAGAGGGGGCTTAATGGTGGGAAAGTAGTCGGAAATGTCAGTGTTTATAAGAAATGTTGTTTTTCCATAATTCATCCGTAAATAACAATAATAATAACAAACTGGTAGATCTATCGATCTCGAATAGAGTGTTGAGCCTTGCAGAAAAGTTATCTTAAATCGCTCACAAAATAAGCTCTTGAGCCGAAGAAGTAAGAGAAGTATACCGAAATATCACTCGATATCACTGAAGAATAGGTTCTTTTGCGGTCACGGTGTCGCCCAATGCTCAATTTACCCGAAAACCCATTCCTACCGCAACCAAGAACTCTGTTATCCGTATCATCGGCTAGCCCGGCTAGAACTCTGCGATCGACTGTGAAAGACAATGCATCGGTTATATTCAAAGTTTTCTCCCAGTTTTTTAATCTGTGTTTATTCAGGCCTCTTGGTACAATGGTGGAGAGCAATTCTGAAACAGCTGAGCTTATTGCTCGATGAGATCGACCTATGTGGCCCACTCAACCACGATATGGGTAGGAGTCAAAGGAAATATCGAAGGACCAACACATCTCGAAGTGGACGATAACAGAGGTAAGAGGTAATTAGCTTGAGTAATATATAATAAGAGTGCAGTTGAGAAGAATAGACAAATGAGGGGATGTCAAAGTTAGAAAAAAAGTAGGGTCTTTGGGAGGAAGAAGTATCGATCACTTCCCAACAGCTTGGCTGCCCGAAATGATAAATGAGTACGTGGCGCACTCATGACGGAAAAGCAAAATAAAAACATCGCTACTATAAAAACATCACATCACTACTACGGGTTTTTTCAACTACTTTTATGATCAGTAACAAATAACCAATAGCTTAGTGATAAAATCAGAGGAGCCCAATCTATTTTTGAGAAACAAAATAAAATTTGAATAAATATAAAAGAAAACTAAATAAAATAGAAACGAATAAAAATAAAATCGCAATAAAAAAGTTTTAAGTGATATCTTGGAATTTTATAGGCTGAATTTTGTAAGATACTGGTGAAAAGCAGGATTTTTATATGAAACAATAAAATATATTATAAATAAAATATTTTTTCTACAAAATCTACTTTATTAAACATCGTTATAAATGTTGTGGGTGAAGAGGATTAAGTGAAGTTGAAGGAAAGCGATCAACTCGACTCTGTCAGACAACAACCGATTCATGAGCAAATAGATAAAAAAAATCAGATCGATCAATAAATCTCCGGAAAAAATATTCAAGGGTGGCCCGAGTTACGAATGAAGTGCGGTGATTTGTCATGGTTGCTGAAAGTAGCAACTGGCCCATCAAAACCTTACAACGGCAGACCTCCCCGAACGAAGACATGTGCACTTCTTCTTGGGAGGGAGGTTTTACCCTCGACTACGACACAGAATGGTCTGCAATTGATGAAAAAACCTGAGCAGCTGCTACCCATCTCTGAGACGATCACGACATGAAAAAAACGCGTGGCTTAAAAGGACAAAGACATTTGGGTGGCCAAATGGGCTTCTAATTATTTGAAGGACATCCCACGCCTACATATGTCCTTTCTCAAAGAGCTGGGCCAATTATTAGTCAAATGTTTATCCGAAATTGAATGTAAACTGAACAGATGACTGGGAATTTCGTCTTATTCTTGATGCTCGAAGGGTAAAGGGGAAACAGCTTCCCTATTCAGCCTTTTCCTACTCATTCTCATTCTCAGACCAAAATCGCTTTAGAACCTGCGGGAATGATCGGAGTTCCATAAGGCGTTCAAAAGATTTGCTTTTTCTGATGCGATTTTCTCCCTATGTGTTGAGAGAGGAGCTTATGACCCTTGACCCTTTCCTACTCCGCGGGGTTACCAGGAATCCCGTACTTTCAACAAGGTTATAGAGCATAGGAAGGATTTTTGCCCCATTATCCTTGTCACTGCAAGTACCTTCCTACATTTCGAATATAATTATTTTACGAAAGTTTTTTGCAGTCTATAAACTGATTACGTCTGGGTAAGTATATCATCCCGGACAGGGTTTGCTAATCTATAGGTTTTGCTCAGTCTCGGAACACCAAAAGGGCTTTCATAAGCAAGGGTGGATCCGTAGATGACCCCCCCCCCCATATGATCATGTGTCCATTTTTGGAACAGAACCGACTGAAAATAAAAAAAATGAGAAGGAATAGAATGGAAGTCACTTTGAGACTTCTACAAGGACGTTAGAAAATTGAGCGAATGAAATTCTCTGACCACCTAAATTGCTTAGGTGTGAAGAGCGGATTAGTATTCTACAGAACCTTGTTCTGCAGGCAGATTCTCAGCAAAGATGATGGACAGATGAGTAGACGTTGCAAAAAAAGACGGTGTGCCAAAGGATCATCCAAGAGAGAGGAGTGGTTGTCATGAGAAAGAAGCTATGCAAAAAGTAGCACTCCCCTCTTACTCATTCACAGCCTTTCAGGCATTTTCGGTAATGAAAGCATGGGCAGAACCATGAGTTCGTGGTGTTATATGTACTATACTACAGTGTACTGTGTAAAGTACTAAAATCTTCGGCCGAGTTAAAAGTTTTTTGAGGCAAAGCGCCAAATAAAGGTAAAGCATAGGTGGAAAGATTCGGTTGGAAAAAAGAATACGCCAAAGCCAGTGTGTCGTTTCGTGGCTGGCAGCTTGGGCGTTGTCCTAGACCATTTATTTGTGATTCGGCTTCTGGGCGTTTTTGGTTCCACCCAAGAACAAGCAAAGTCCCTGCACAATATTGTGGGTATAGTATGGGGATTCTGGGTCTGAAAGAGAAGAAGCCCCGAACTTGCAGAACTTTCAATAAAGTTGTGACGTGGGATATGGTTGGAACTGAAAAAGATTGGAACAACTTCTTTATCACTCCCGGACGTTCATTTTGACCCGGATTTGTTCCTTGAATTGCTAGGGCGATCAGACTGGGATCCGTAGCCGTGAAGATCAGGCAGTAACAAATTGAAGGTGAAGGAACTGAGCGGTTAGACCTTCCTGGAGCATAGTTCGATGGGGATTATCAATAATATGGAATAATATGAGACGCGCCGCACATCTACCTCTTATTCAAGATCGCTACTTCAGTTACTGGTGCTGCTCGTGCCTGCAATCATCTTTGGGGTCCGAATGGTATTAGGGTCAGCACTTTTTGAAACTTTGACCATGTCTCATACCATTCTGCTAATCCAGCGGACTTGTTCGAATTTCCATCTCGCCGAAAAAAAGGAGAGGAAGCTTTTGCGGTGCAGTGCCCCTTGACGCTGTCATCCCTGCTTAAATAACTTCGGTACATCATAGAATGAGCTTCGCGGAAAGAGATAATCCCAAAAGAAACCCGAACAAGCCACCTCTCCTCCTTTCGGTCGTTCATCATACAATAAATTATACTAAAAATCTCGTTTGTCAAAATCTGTTGGACTAGTGAGCTGAGAAATTAACCGAAGAAAATTGAAATCCTCAGACATTTGAAGTTGAAGAACTGAAATTGCTTGGACCTGTTCAGTGGTTTCAAAGGGACCACTGAACTCAAAAGGAAATAGAGAAATGAATGGAGTAGGTCTATCCAAATTTCGAAATGTGGCAGGATGTATTTTTAGAAGAAAAATTTGGAAAAAAAAATGAAAAACCGAATATTTAATATGAAGCCAGAGTATTCCAAATCAACAACAGGAGGTGTATGGTGTAATAAATGCCATAAACAAGTGCCATATTGTTGACAGCGATCGATCATGAGCCATATTTGGGCATAAGCAAACTGTAGCAGGTTCGTAGTATAATGACAGGTGACAAATTCGGGACGCGTATCGACCCACCTGCACTACTCAACAAGCATTCATTGTCATTGATGTCGATTTTGACTTTTTGACTTGGATAGGCGAAGAATTTCAGTTGATCGATGTCTTCTTCGATACTTGGTGTTCGTCGTTCGGCTACCATGTTGGTTCCAATTGAATTGGATTGAGATCTGACTGAAAGTATAGTCATGATGGATGTAGGGATGGGCGGATGATGGTTTGGGACGGTAGAAATGTGAGACTAGGAATGTCTATATGAAAAGAGGGGGTGGGAACGGAGAGCGGCCTCGTCGTATTTCCCGACCGCTCCACGTCACCGACAGTGCACACACTGAACATCGATGAAAGCTGAATTCATTGAGTTTTACATTAGGCCAGACAGCAGCAGCTCAAACTGCTTACGTACACCGTTTCTCAGTCATAGGCCAGGCATAAATAAATGATTAAATAATATTTTTATTTTCGTTGGCTTGATCAATGTCAAATTCCGTACAAGGTCTGACTTACGACGAATTCCCTGATCAACTTAGTTTCCTTCCTATCATAGTTGATACTTGACTGTACTTAGTGATACTCGATGATATCTTCATTGTGTGAATGCCCCGGCATAATCACCTTACTTGAGCTTTTCTGATGCCCATCTGATCGATATCAAATTCCAGACAAGGACTTTTATAATTCCCTGATCCAGATTTCCTCCTGTCATAATTGATACTTGGCTATACTTAGTAATACTCCATGATATTATCATTGGATGACTGTCCCGTGTTTATCAGATCGCTGAGCTATTTTTTCCCTTCAGCGCTATCCCGATTACAACACTGCTTGCCATCAATTTTAATCAAAATCGGTACACCACTTGTTCAAAAAAAAGATACGGGGGTGACAAGAAGCGAAATTCTCGATATTTTTTTACAATTTCAATTTACTTTCGAAATTTGGCAAGATTCTGGGAGTTCCCCTCAAATTTCAAATCCTGCCGAGTGGAAAAATTACATTTA